TTTCCCATTTGGTTATGAAGAGCATCTCGCGTTATTTTTGGGGATTTGAATTTATTCAACGTGAGGATTTTTTTTTTCGCTTGTTACACTCACACCTCAAAACCCATGGCAGTAGTAGTAGTAGTAGTAGGAATGGACGTATTCGGGAGCCGCAATGCGACCTATAAATTCTCTTCTTGCTCGTGTTTGCCTCTTTGCCAAGGGGTTGGTACGACCCCATGCGTATATAACTACGAAACGGTTCACGGTCGCCCAACGTGGTGTTTTAACCAGAAATAAATTGTGCCGAAATAGTTTGGGCTTTTAGGAAGACGATTCTCAACGTCTTTCATTGCAATTCTTACCCTCGTTTCTTTTCAACTTTTCTATATATATATAGATATAGAAATATTCCACACACGTCGCATATGTGGTGTGTGCCATTTTACTTGATCGCTATGTAATTGCTTACGAGAGTGTGAAGGTTTCGAGAACCCAAATTCTCAGGCACCCCAAATTTCATCCCTTTTTTTTCTCTCACTGCCTGATGTTTTTCGCTTTCAAGACTCTCCCCTCTTGCGAGCGATTCGTCATTTTTTTCCGTCAAGAACAAGTCAGTCATTATATATGTTATTTTATTCCATTATCATTGCGCATGTGTTATTTTCATCATTTTTTAGACTTCTTTTCCAAACAGTCAATATTCAATGCAAAAATTTTCCAAACACATTTTCATAAATTTCTTTTTTTTTTACTAAATGCCACTTTTCGAAAATTAAAAACAAGAAGGAAAAAAATTTACTTGGAAAACTAAATCAATTATGAGCCAAAAGTTTTGAACGTTGAAATGAACAAAATTTTTTTTGTAACTTCTTTAAGTACGAATTTTATTACAAAATATTGTTTTAAATATCTAAAAAGAAGTTATTAATTTAATATTTGTTTAATTTACTGTTTTATTTTACATTGACATTATATAACTTCTAATAATTTATAGATAGCAAAAAATATTTTGTTCATTTGAACCTTCAAAACTTTTGGCTCATAATCAATTCTAATCCGCTGAATTTAAAAGTTAAAGCTTTAAAAGCTACGAAATCAACGAAAACCTTTCGAAAAAATGTGTTGCAAATTTAAAATGTTTTTCCACCCTTAAAATAAGATTTTCTTCTCACTGTATAATAAACCCTAAAAAAAAAGAAACTAAATAAACATAAGCAGCCGTAAAAAAGCGCAACATAAAAAGAAAAAACTATATAAAAAGAACACTCTAAATAAACATAAACCATAAAAAGAAACGGAATAAAAAAAAACTAAAATAAAGTGTAAAAAAAGAATTACGAATAAAACCCAAAAACGTAGAATTAAAATAAACATAAAAAATTATTAGATTCTCGAATCTCTTTTACTATACATAGAAAGAAATATTTTCCTTTTGTTATGGAATTATTATTTAAACCCCCCCCCCCCCCGAGTTTTGTTCTTTTGAAACAAAGAATTAAAAAACGAATTTCTGATTCCCATATACGTGAATGAATTTTGCGACGCACATAATCGTCCATGAGTGTGTTATTGCGGTGTATATTCATTCGACGCAACTGACCTTGAAGGATGCAACAGCGCCTCATGGCCCTGAAGTGGTGGCCACGGTCAAGGCTACAGACTTGTAACACGGGGGACCCATCGTCGCAAACCGGTGTTTCGCCATATAGGCAGCAACTCAACCATCGAAGAAGAAGAAGAAGAACCACCTAAAACTCCCCATGCAACAACTTGCATTTTGCTTTGGATCAGGGACCATAGAGTGTGTGGTACGCGTACTACTTTGCGGGCTTCTTCTTCTTCTTCTTCTTCTTCGGGGCCCGCATAACAAAAACACGTAGCAGAGTCGCTTTATTATTATTTTTCCTTTTTTAAAACCACCACCACATTGGAATCCGGTTTTGGCTTTAAAAATCGAAGCAAGGTCGACTCGTTGTCTCTCCCCTCGAAAATTCTCATGTTCAATCCGCATGTTGCGCGCGGAATCAAAAAGTTTCGATATATATATATATATATGTATGAAGAAAGGGACGTGGAAAAAAAAAATTCAAAAAATAGATCATTTTCTTTGTCATGTTAAAATAGTTCAGAGAACTTGTAGTGAAGAGATCATTTTTTATATTTAATCATTATCTCCCCTAAAATTTACAAAGAGAGAGAGAGGGATCATATACTGACACTGAATAAACTCGATGAAATTGATCAAATCTTCTTTCCTGATATATTGTTACACTCCCTACATAAAATTCATAGAATTTAAAACGATTCTATTATCTTAAAATTCACTTAACCTTCACGAAAAATAGTTTAAATATTTTTAGAACACACTTTTTTTTTTTTTTAATTCCCTAAAGAATTTTAAAATTATTTTTTCTGCAATTTCATTATATAAATATTCCAACTGTATTTCAATAATATACACGGCAACGAAGATAAATTCTCTCAAGTGCAATTCAATAATCCTGTGTATGTGTCAAGGGGTGTAGAAAGGAATTTCTCTGAAAACAAAAGGGAAAATATCTTTTGGATATTTGCAACCTTGTTAAATTACAGCGACCCCTCTTGAAAGAAATTAAATTCCAAAGAGCAAGCAATCTTCATGGGCTGACCCTTATCTCGACTCCTCTTATATATATATATATATATAAAATTGGGGTGAAAATGAAGAAGGCAATACATACCTCACTTCTGATCACGATTTCAACCTTGACCTTAGGGCTAGTTACATCAAACATCCAATCAATCTTATACGAAAAAGAGTTAAGACAATGAGAAACAAATCCAACACTTGACATTACGAAAAAAAAATATATATAGAATATAGTTTTGTTAATATTAAAAATAAAATTAAAAAAATTAATCGAAACTTCTAATCTTCATTACATGTTCCTCTCAATAGAATTTTATAGATTTTAATCTATAATTAACAAAGAATACCAAGGTGGTGTCTCGCCTTAATCTTTAGTTAAGATTAAAATTATATATATATTTTTTTTTTATAAACAGCGAAATGAAAGCCGTAGATTTTATATAGTTTGATAGAGCGTATAGCAATGATCTTGTTCGATCGAAAGAGTATGCGTATATAAACGACAAACAGAAATAGGACAGGTTTCCGAAGCAAGCAATCTATATATAGATTATATAGACTATATAGTGTCGCGTCAGCAATATGGGAGGGACAAGACTATTCTCTATAGACTATAGTTTAATGTTTGTTATCTCCCTTTTTTAATCCACGCTTCTGTCTAGCAAAATCTACTATATACTCTTACAATAACGACCTACGCACCTTCGAGGTACAAACCTACGTTCATTCATGCGTGCGTGAATACCTATCGTAAACGTAAGGATTCTCAACAAATAAGAATCCCAGGCGCCATGAAACTCGACAACAAACGTGAATCATGCCGGAAATCATCCAACCCTCTTCCGCGAAAGTCTTCAACATGTATGTTCTCATCAAAAAAAATATAAACCCCATTTTTAAAGAATAATTTTAATAATAATTTTAAAAAATTATCAATTTTTAACAAGTTTTAATTTTTTATTTAGTTCATTTTTAAAATAATTTTAGAAGCAATTAATTAATTAATTCGATAAAGCTGAAGGAAGCCGCTTTATATTTAATAATTTTGTAAATATTAAATAATTTCATGTGAATTTTTCATAATTTAAAAAAACCTTCTTAATTATGTAAAATAATCCACAAAATGTAATTATTAAATTAATTGTTTATAAATAATTAAAAAATTGTGTCCAGAATATAGTGGCTATTCATATTAATTATGAAAAATTAATAAAACATTTCACCACATGCAATAATTAAAAATGAAAAGTTTTTTAAAGAAATAATTTAATTTCTGTTTCATTTTAAAGTGTTTTTTAAAAGCATTGAAAAGTTTCTTGTCTTTTCAAGGCTTACAAGGATCTATAGAAACCCTATAAGCTGTTAAACTAAAATTAATTAATATAATTAAACTAAACTACTAATAACTGCGAATACACTAACAACAATTAAAGATACCATTATTTGAATTTATCAATAATTACAATATTACTTAAATAGTTATAGATAATATATTATTAGCTGTATTCAACGAAATATAAGCAAAAACAAATTACGTGAAATATATAAACACACAACCTCTGTCTTTAAAAAAAAAAAAAATGAAATGTTTTTTGTATTTAAATATCGTGGGAACTTGGGCCTTACATTGCGCAATGGGAACAATAAATGTGACCTTGAAATGCCTGACACGAAAATAAACACGATTTTTGTGAAAGACAAGCAACATATTCAAAGAGAATACAAAACAGATTTACAATTTTTAAATTTGGAAATATCAAATTCTAAACGCAGATAATAAATTATTTCCAGTTAAGAAATGTTATTTTAAAACCGAAACGAACAATTACGACAAATTTTGACTGAGAAATACGATTTGAGAACTCATAATCAATAAATAAAAAAAAGGAATTTTAGTTCAAAAGATACCAAATTGAAAACAACATTTTAATCAAATTTTACTTAATGTGTGTTTGCATTATCAGTTTCTTTTATATTAATTAAAAATTAATTTATAACCAAGTAAATGTGTTTAAACCACAATTAAAACATTTTTTAAATTAAAAATAGTCAAATTTCTTTGATTGATAAGAAAAAAATTAATATTAAATCAAAATTATTCTCACAAAATCCTATTGTACAAACAATTGTCATTTTAATAACAAATTGCAACATATTCACTAATGCTACTATTAAAAATCTATTTTTAGTTACAAAATGGCAATCTAAAAAAATTCTATTTACTGAAATATTCAGAATTATACACGCCAGTGCACTCGACATTCCAACCATAAAAAATTGAGGTTAGAATCGTCTTTAACCTCTTTTGAGTCAATTAAAAACATCTGTTAAACGTCAAAAAAAAGGAACCAAACACAAATAAATAATAATAGAGAAAAACCAGACTCACCGAACTCTATCGCTGAAGAATTCCACCTTACTCTTCTTCTTGACAAGTGCCTGGGGTTGATGAAGAGGGCTGACGCTGGGCTCGCTGGATGCAGGCGGAGAGCTGGACCCATTGCTGGATGAAAGAGAACCAGCCCTTCCTCGTCCATTCTCAATAATCTGCACATCAGATCCTCGAACTCCTCCATTCACATGATTAGCATGTCCCGGTGGTCCAGCGGAAACAGCAAGACTTGGTCTTGTATTTTGTCTATTCCTACGTTTTTTCTTTTTAGCTTCATTTTCCTCGTGACGATTTCCATTCACATGATTAACACCTGGTGCCAACCAATCTAAATCTTTTTTCAAATGTCCACGTCCACAGCGACATCCACAAGCTTTAAATGCCAAATCATAACCCTTCTTGGTCCAGAGATTCTGATGACGTTGACGTTCTGACCAACTTCTGGCACGTCCACAACTTTTCAAATATGTCAACACTGTCTGCTCCCATGCGTCAAAACATTCTCTATGCATAAATTGTCCCACTGGACAATTATCATTGTTGCACGTCACTTTAATCACATCCTGAAGTGAATTCATACGTATCAATGCATCTCCCCGAAGACACTCACCACTTGGAATACAGCAATGAGTTGTGTTTGAATGTTGACCGTTGACAATCAAGTTATCCATGGTGTCGTTATGAAGACTGTTATTTGTTGTTGGATCAATTAAAACACCACCATGCCCATTGACCTGTCGTCTTGGGGCCATAGTATTCCAAAAAACTCCAGTCTCAAAATTTTCCTTAAATGAATCCGTTGTCTTTGATGAAAAAAAAAGCAATAAAAAACAAAAACAATCCCAAATTATTCACAAACAATCGTCTATTGTAGTCTTGAGCACTATTTCATTCTAACACACCCTTGAAAACTTTTACCCCAAATGTTTTTATGGAACCACGTGTCTCGGAAAAACCCTACACGAAAACTACCCTCGGAAAAGAAAAATCCACATATCATCGAGTCTTAGGGAGAAACGGGAGGTCAAGGTCACTAGGCGAACACACACGCGAAAAAAATCAAGGTCACAAACAAAATTAATAACGCGAATTAACTTTTTAATCGAATAAATGTTAACTTGAAATTGAATTCGATGAATAAACTGTGAGTGTCAGGGTCACCACCGCAGCGCGTGGGACAGAGGGGGTGGCTGCGGGGTATTTTCGATCGAAATACTACCGGGTTGTCTCTTTCTCACTCACTGTTTGTCATCACCCTTGAAAAAAAATTCTTCAATTTTATCACAATATGTCACTGGGGATGAAAAATATTGTTGAAAACATATACGAAGCAGGAAGCCGGCTTTTTTGCCTTTTGTTGAGGCAGCTCTTCGCACAACGAAAAACACTCGCTCACACGTAGGGTGTACCAGTCACTGAGACAGTGGCAGCATGCCGGCTCAAGGCTCGGCGCGGGCGAACGCGAAAGTGAGGCCCCATTGGGTGAAAGCGAAAGCATGTGGTGGGGGTCACGGCTAGAGCGCCAATCGATGCGCACCGTTTTCGTCCCTCCGACAACGAGTATATCTTCCATCTCACTTCACTGAATCATCTTCTCTCCCTTGCACGACTTGTAGATCTTCTCTGTCTCGCACCGCTTCCAATATTGCGTTGTGAACTCCATGCGTGTGAGTACGATTTCATTGTGTTCGCGTTTATCTGTAGGTGTGTATATGTCCCTGCATGTGAAAAGTCTCGTGAGGTGCGTTTCCTCATATCAAAACTAAAGATGTAAATAAAAATGCATAATCTATGATATTTTTGGATAATGATAGCGAATTTTTTTTTTTTACGACACTGATTACTGATTATAATTATAAAAAGAAAAAGCTTTTTCAGAATAACTATTGCAATTATATTAAAAAGATTTGTTTCCCGCCAGTTACACGAAAGTGGACGAGTCAACCGTATTTACTTGTGATTTTACAAAATTGACAAAATCAAAAAAACAAGTATGAATATTCTTTCTTTTTCGCGATAACTATTTGTTTTCTAAACCGGGATTCAATGCTATTAATTTAGACAGAGAAAGTCTACAAGATTCTATTGAAAAAAAGTGGGAGAAAATCAATTATTGTTAAATTAAAAATTATTAAAAAAAATTTTCTAAGCGACATAGATTCTCCCTTAAAAACATCCAAGATGGAACTGAGTGTGCGCACTGGGGAAGCTAGTTTTTATACTTCGAGCTTTTAGTCTGCCGTGCGCTTATTGGTGGGGCTACTTTCTGTGCATTGTGATTGGCCAGGCGCTCTTGCTGCCAACGTCTATAAATATAGGCTGTTTTTTACAAGCACTTCAATGAGCAGTTGACTCTTCCAGACGCAACATCTACGCTGATGGTTAAAAAAATATTTTTAGCTTTTTATTTTTTGTTAAGACTGGACAACCACTTCCATTTCCATCATCATCACTTCCAATTCACAAAAGCATTAGGATATCAAGTAGATCGATTATGTATTGAAGGGAGATCTCATTGAAGGAACATAAATCAACAAAAAAGTAATTTGGTTCGTATTGAGCTTTTTTATATATTATTTAAGTAAATATATATAGACGTTGACTGACATCGCCATCTCAGTTTCGCCATCTTGTTAGGAGATTTCGTATAACTTAATTGTGGTAATAGCTTCAGCATTTAATATAACAGATTATTATTATAATTTTTGTGTAATAAAAAACAGTCACCTGATCGTGCTTTGCGACAGGTGGCAATATAATATGCGCGCGCATCCAAGTTCATGTCGAGTCCGTTAGAAGTGTTACCAACTCTCTTAAGTACACGAAATAAGAAGTTGGTAGAGCTGATTGATTCATTCGCGCCAATATTCTGTGCGCTCAGTGCTGTTGTCAGTTAAATGTTGTATTAAAATTATACTTTATTAACATAATAAATCCAGAAAAAAAAGAAATAAATCATCTTTCTGATAAATATAAACTTCAAAGTTGAATCGAAAATGGTGTGCAAATTTGATTAAGATATTGAAGATTTCAACCGTTTTTCGTTAGCACTAAAACGGCCAACGCCACATAACCTAGTAAATATAGATTGAAATTGCGTGTCAATAAATATATAATTGCAGTTCAACTAAAGGTTGTATATTATTTAGATATATTTTTCTATTGGTGAGTTAGAAAAACCTTAATAATTTATGTCTTCTTATTCTAATTCTACTTTTACCATTTTATGCTATAAAGTTATTGTTTGAGAAAATTGTATGTAGTGATAATAATTTATTGATTCCACATTTTAAGTATACCTATAGAAAAGTAGTGACAGAGAAAAAACAAATTTTTTTTTCTCTAGACAAAGTGTCACTTCATAAAATAAACAAAAGTTACGAGATAAACGAAAATTTACCGTTTAGATATATAGAAAAAATTGTTATTTTAGAGAAAATTTTCTTTGGCGTTTCATATTTTTCACACGCAAATAAAAACATCTCTTACTTTCATTTTCAGGAAAATTGCTTTATCTTTATTAAATTTATTATGATTCAAATAAATATATAGATTTTTTTTTCTTTTCAGTTGTCCGCAGTCGAAAAGATAATGTGGCTATTTTCATCATCTCTAATGAAATTAAAAAATTCAGTAAAAGAGGAAATCGACTTTTTGCAGCGTTTTCAGTCAATAAAAGGTAAGAGTTTCTCCTTATTTATATCTCTCTTTAACCTTCGCCGGACTGGATACTTTTTATATACACGGTTGACAAGATCCCACCCAGGGTGGGCCAAATGTTTTCTTCTTTGTATATTGCAATAAAAACTTAGAATCATTCAGTTTTTTTCCAAAATTGTTATATGTTACCAAATAATATATTTTATTAATGTTTTGTTGATTTTTTATTTGTTTAAACAATTTATTATTAATAATTTATAACTTTTTCAAATATACATACGACAGTAGAAGAATTTTATAAATTTGTTACCTTTTCTTCGTAGTTATTAATTCAAAGGTTATAAATAAAATAAAATATATAATTCAATTTGCAACAACTATTATTATAAATTGTTTAAACAAATAATTGTTGCTATTTATTAACATTCTTCATAATATTCCTAGAAAATTGCAATTTTTTTCTAATTTTGCAACTTAACAAGCTCAACATAATAAACATGAAGATTTTATATGAATTTAGTATTCAAACGATTGTTTAAACAATTTATTGTTGTTATTTATTAACTTTCTTGTAGTGTACCTAGAAAGATGCAGTTTATTATATTCCGCTTGATAAATTGCAAAATTAGAAAAAAACTGCATCTTTCTAGGTGCAGAACAAAGAAAGTTAATAAATAATAACAATAAATTGTTTAAAGGTTTAAACAAATGAAAAATGCAACATAATATTTTTTATATCTATTATTTGACATCATAAAACACTCACAGTGAAAAGTCTGCATGATTTCAAGTCTTTTTGTAAAATAGAGTTAAAAAAATATCTGAATCATCCCGGTTATCTCCGTACATACATTGATAAAAGTTATAAATAATCAAGAAGAAATTTTTTTTAAAAATTTGTTTTTACATTTTTTGAAAGTTCTTAAGATTTTGTTCAGTGACTTAAAATCGCGATTCAATTAAGGCAAAACTTTAGAAGATATGGCAATTTCAATTTGTCTGGCCCACCCTGGGTGGGCATCTTGTCAAGCGAAGGTTAATTATGTACAGTAATTATAAATTCATATAATATCTGAATGATTCTCATGATAAAAATTTAAACTTTGAATACAAATCTTAGAATTTATATAATAAAATATATTATATTATTTGTATATATTTTAATATTTTACTATATCTTTAGCGTGTTTTGAATTATTTATTAATACTTTTCAATGAAGATATTTGAAAGTGCAATTTAGAATTGCTAATAAACCAAACAGGGAACATAAAAAGTGAATTAAAATTGAATGTTTTTTTTATTTTTTTTTATTAAAATTAATTTATTAAAATAAATCAAAATTAATGTTTAATCATTTTAAACATATATAATTAAATATTTGACACCGTTTACATGCATGAATTGGAATATATTTATGTATATTTTTTTAATATTTCAATGCCTCTTTGTTTCGAAGAACTCGAAATGAGAACGAGATTTTTGAGGCATAAATATTTAGGTTTCCTTACACATACAGTGTAATTTGAAAATATTTCTCTAAGCTTTAAAGTATAAACCATCGAGCGTTTGATCATTGATCGATCAATGAACTTTTTGTCGATTATATAAGCAACCTATTTTTTTATTATTTGCTCAAAATAATACAATTTTAGAAAGAAAATTTATCTTATTCAATATTATCATCAATTTTTTTTTTTTATTTAAAAATATTTAATGCTTATTGAAATTAAATATTTCAAAATAATTATAAATAATATAATAATTTTATTTATTTATGTATTTATTGGCAAAAAAAAAGTTGTCATAGTAATTTTTTTTTAATCATCAACAACTATTAGAGCGCATTTTAAAGTGTAAATCTAGACGCGATTTAATCCTTCAGGCATATAGAGGCCTTGCAAGAGTAGATTCGAGAGGGTCTAAATTGCAGGGTAGACCTGCCTAAATTTAGCCCAAGGTCGCTTATATACTTACACGACCACATTTCAAACACTCTTTTTTTTTATTTATTTTTTAATTCTTCCGACCCAACTTCGATACTGGAGTGCCAAGCGACAACTTATTTATTATAAAGTTATATACGCGATGCTCTTGACTAAGCTTTCATATAAATAAGCTCATATTTATGGAACCTTAAAAAAATTTGTCTCCCTTTAGATATTTAAAGATTCGAGGATTTTAAATTACAAACAAAAATTTTATACTCTCTATAGATTAAATAATATTAAAAAAAAGTACATAAATAATAATTAATCGATTTTTTAAAATAAATATAATTAATTTAAATAAATAAATGAATAATAATTTACTAAATCTTGAGTGGAAAATTTATCTAATTTACACATTCTTTCATATTTTCCCAAAAAAAAAGATGTAAAATACTATAGAAAAATATTTATTAATCAATTCCATTCAGTGTATGGCAATTTAAAAAAATTATCACTAATCAAACAAAATCAATTTTATGTGAAAATTTACAAATGAACAATTACAATGAAATTTACTTATTCATATTCCGCTTTACTGCTTTTTGCAATCAAAATTTGTTTTTTTAAATCATTAACATTACAAATTTTGATATCGCGTTATTAAATTTTTCGTGTTTATTTAGTTGGTGATTATAAAGAGCCGTGTGTTTCAAAAATGACAAAATAAGCACTCACTGTATATATAATGAATCTGATAAATATTGTTTTCTTTTTCTTTTTTTTTTAAATATAATTCGCAGTTTATATTCATTAATATAATTGAAATGCATTAATTTGAATTTAATTGATTTAAAAAATATTCCAAATTTTCATACAAAAATAAGATTATGCATATATTAACAAAATAATCACTGATCAATGGAAGATAAGATTTGTGAAAATTACAAAAGTTAATTAACAATTTATTTTTAAAAAAATCAATTTTTAAATTAATGAAAAATTTAATTAAACGGAAATTTTTTTTTCATTTATTTTGAAATTAAATTAAATTTTAATTTATAACTGATCTATAAATTGTCTGATGAATTTTCGCGTATATATATATCTATTATGTAAATACAAATTTCATTTTTGTGTACCGTGTGCATCGACGCGTGCTTTTAACAAACAGAGATATCACGATATGAAATATACAAAATTGTCAAAAATTTATATCTTCAGGTCAACAGTCTCAACGACCAGCTGCAAAAAAATGAACTTTATTTTTTAGAAGGATATTATATATATTTTCGTAGTATATCGATTTATTTTTACAAAATTATACACATTCACAAAAGCCAAATGACGACAAAAAAAAAACGTGATATTTTATCATAAATATTAGAGAAAATCGGACTTAAAATAAAAAACAAATTTTTATATTTTTAATAGTTAAATAATTATAAGTATTATGCTTTACAATTCTAGATTTTATGATTTTGTTTAACTTCCTATTTATATTTTGCTCAATTATATTGTAGTTTATTTTGTTTTGTTCATTGAACCAAATTTTATGTTAAAACTTATAACAAAAAGAATTTAGTTGATTAACTTTGGGTGTGGTGTATATATATAGTTTCAAAAATAATATATTTCTAAAATAATTGTGTGCAATGGTATAAATATAAATAAAATATGATAGCAAACCGTAAATTATAATTCTAATCAATGATAATTAAAAAAAAATTTTTTTAAATTTTATTTCCATTTTGGAAACATCAATGATTGACGTTATAGTAAGTTCATAAAAAAGAAAACATCAGATATTTTAAGATTATTCCTCAGTGTGTGTGCGTTTGTCTCGAATTTGAAGCCAATTATTACTTTTTTAATGACACTTAGGAAATTAAATTTTCATGTTTGCAAAAATAAAAACGAAAAATTAACTTGAGAGATGAAACTTTTATCTTCTAAATCACAGATATATATAATTTTTTTTTTTTTTTTATTAATATGAAATTTATCATCATTGATAAAATATGTTTTTCAATTTTTTTTCTGGCCCTGATGTGTGTATTAAAAATCTGTGCACTTGGCAAAAATCAAGAGAAAAAGAGAGAAAGAGAAATTTCTAGTTATATATTCGTGCGCAGTGCAAAAACTTATTCACACAAACTAAGCATCTCTTTTTCTTGCGTCATTTCTTATCGAATATGTGTTTTTTATCTTTATACACATAAGTATAGTATACTATCAACCCATTCCTCACTGTGTGTAATTTTTTTTTATTCTCGTATCAAGTATTTTGGTTGCTATTTGATATGAGACGAAGGTCGAGAAGAAAAGCCAGATGTGCGCGCTCCTACATAAAAATTTCATTATAAAATTTTAATTTTTAATAATATAATCTCTTTAGAAAACGAGAGGAAAATCTTGATTAAATTATCGACAATCTTTAAAAAAAACGAAATTTTTTAAAAAATAATTTTAATTATTTAAATTTTTATCTCTGAAAAAATTTGAAATAATTTAATTAAGGAAAATATATAGTCTTAATTTAAAAGGAATTTTTTTTAATGTTTGGAATCTCATTAATCACTGTTTATTGTATTATTTAATTTCCCTTTTTCTCAATAAATATATAATTTGTGACGCAAGTAGTGAACTGCATATATGTATATAAATATAGCGGCCGTAAATAAAACATTTTTCTCGTACGATATAAAAGTGTCGTAAAACTTGTTTTGGTAATCTAATTAGACAGTCAAAGTCTCGTGAAGTAAATCGCTTAGCATTTGCAAAAGAAATACTTGTTGAAAGATGCGTGTATGCGATAATTAATGAAAATGAGATCATTTATTTTTTCGTCGCTATATATGTAAAAATTTCAGTGCGAGACACAAGCGGGGCTGGAGGTCAACAAAAATTTTAATAGCAATCATATATATGTTAAGGACAAAAAATTCTTTTTTTTTTATATCACATATGCGAAAGTATATAAGTATTTTTTTTTTTTTATTTAAATGAAGACTGGAAAATTATTATTATAGCAAAATTGTAAAAAAATTTATTGAAGGTTATTATTAAAAAAATAATAAAATAATGAATTTAGGAATATTGGAAAATATTAATTATATAATTATTTAAAATTGAATTAGAAAAGAATTATTATTTATATAGTTATTTCACTATGCTCTTATCAGGATAAGAGGATCATCAAGATCGTTTTCGTGCAATAAGATAATGGCATAAATACCCCAGAAAAAGGATGAAAGTGAGAAAACATTTTAGATAAGATTTTTGGAACACTCGAAGATTTACAATGATGTATTTTGATAAAGAGAAATAGTGCGCGAGTTAAATCGAATTTCTGTATAGTTTTTTTTTCTCTCTTTTTTTTGCAGTTTTATTGCCTTGTTGAAAATTCCAGTTAATCGTTTATCTTGATATATGTTATCACAGGAAAATAATTCATTGTAAGTTAATAAATTAATTCGGTTTAAGATATTTATATACGAATGTCACTATATATAACACAAACCAAGTCGAATTTTCTAAACACTTTTTTCATTCAAATAATTTATTTATGAACAAAAAAGAAAATTTTCAGTCAAAAAAATATTTTCTTTGAAAAATTTAATTTATAAAGAAAAAAATAATTCATTTGTTTTGTAAATTTTTCGTATAAAATATATATTAGGTGGAATTTGATCCGAATATAATATATGTAACGGAATGCAGGTCAGTCGGTTGCGGAAATTTATATATATATATATAGAAGGTAACACGAATCTTCTCGAGAGGAGTAAAATTGGTATACTACCCCCGTTGGCGAAACGAGGTTCGGATGGATAATCCGAGGTCCTTGAGAGGGTCTGGATAAAAAAAAAGTTGTTTTGATCGTTTCGGGTTTCTAGGATGAATGAATCGTTTCTATAGGGTTAGAAAACCAGATGTGCTGGAACCGTCAAATGTCGTATGCTGAACGAATGCTCGCAATTTAAAATATTGTTCGTTATATACCCCAGTGTGTATATACATGTTTTATGACTTTCATTGATTATAATGTTTGAAATAGAAAAATTGATAAAATCAATATAAGTTAATTTGTTTTTAACAAAATTTTATTCATTTTGCAAATATATGTAAATAAATTTTTTTGGAACAGGGAAAAGAAAATTTAAAAGTCGATCGATTTTTTTTAACAATTTTTTTTTAATTTTCTTCAAAATATTTAATATGTAAATTTTACTAATAAAATTATTTTACCTTTATTAAATTTATTTTTATTCAAATAAATATAGATTTTTTTCTTCTTTTCAGTTGTCCAGACGAAAACATAATGTGGCTGTATCATATATATATATATATATATATATATATATATATCTAATGGAATCAAGGAAAAAGGAAATCGACTTCTCTACCGCTTTCAGCGTTTTCAATCAATATGGTAAGAGTTTTTTCTTTTTTATATATTTCTAATTATAGTAAATATATCTTAATGATTCTCATTCAGTTTTTTGTAAAATAAATTCAAAAGAACGCTCTTGAATTCTTAATATAAATATATGAGTGAGGTATAAATTTACTCGCGGAAATAGTATTTTTTACTATTTCCGGAGCATAAAAAAATGCCAGATATTTCTGAGAGGATTCACTTTGGAAGTAGTGAAAGTTACTATATGGGGCATTCTATGGGAAAATAAGGAAATACGTATTTTTTTATTTGATGAAAATGAAGGAAGATATATGATTTTTTGAAATTTAACGTCAACGAAGAAAGTGTGTTTTTGGAACATTTTTTAATCTATTGTACTATGAAATTAAAAATTATGCTATATATGAAATTTGTTCATTTTTTCTCAAATTTTTCAAATATGTGTTCAAAAATAACGTATCTATAACAGAAGCAACAAAAAAGTTGAAATTAAACTAATAAAGTGAGTTTTCTCAAAGATGGACACTCGATTTTTAATTTTTTTTTTTGCATTACAATCTCTGATGACTGAAGAATTTTTTCCCCTATCTGCGAAAGTGGTATTTTTAGTTTTTAAATTACTATTTACAATTTTTAAGCTTGACGCAACGATTTTTAGTATGTTTTTATGAAAATTAAAAAAAACAAATGAATGTTAATGGAAAAAGGTTATATTTGTAGAAAAAATGCTTAAATTCTGTGAGCCGTACTAAAAAAATTATAAATAGTAATTTAAAAACTAAAAGTACCACTTTCGCAGATAGGGGAAAAAATTCTTCAGTCATCAGAGATTGTAATGCAAAAAAAAAATTAAAAATCGAAAGTGTCTCTTTTGAGAAAACTCATTTCATAAGTTTAATTTCAACTTTTTTGTTATTTCTGTTATAGGTACGTTATTTTTGAGCACATATTTGAAAAATTTGAGAAAAAATGAACAAATTTTAAAACGTTAAATTTCAAAAAATTATATAGCTTCCTTCATTTTCATCAAATAAAAATATACGTATTTCCTTATTTTTCATATAGATTTCGAAAAAAATGTTTCGGGGAAAAAAAAATTTTGAATCAAAATCTCCCGTGGAATGCCCCATATATTGTTTTCCATTTTTTTTCTTAGAGTTTGGAATGTTTTTGAATTAATTTTTCAGAAAACTTAAATTATCCATACTGCTTTCCACTCTTTCCTAAATGTTAGAAAAAAAAAATTTTATCGAAAAGTTGAATTTAAAAAAAAAATTATAAAAATGAAAAAACCATGTAGGATGGATGTTTTATCGTTGATTTCATCAATTTTATAGGTTTTTGGATACTCCGAGGAATATATTTCCTGTAGAATTGAAGCGTTCCAAAATGTCGTCCAGAGCGGCCAAGCGAGAGTTTATAAGGGGTGGGAGAGAGAGAGAGATAGAAAAATCAGGAGAGTCGATGAGGGTTGCACACGTCGAAAACCATCGTGCAAGCATAGCGTGGTGGTGGGTGGTTGGAGATTGGGGGGGTTTTCTGAAGGTTGAAAGCACCGGGTTGACCATGGAAGGGGTGGGAGTGGAAAACGATGAGGGTTGAGGTCTAGGTTCAGGGGCGGCAATGCCAAGTGGGCGTATACTTTCGGTTTCAGTTTTGCGCATGTGCTTCTCATCTTTTACTCTCTCTCTCTCTCTCTCTCTCTCTAGGCGCTTTTACCCAGAGCCCACTTTCATGAATTTTCCGCAGCTTTATCCACCATCGCACTCCCTAACGCAATGTGAACCTTCATGGGATCGAAAATTACAGGGCGTAGCTGATGGTTCAAGCGTACCAGCCAACCAAACCCCTTTCCCTTTACACACTATCATCGGGCATTGCCAACAAGGGTCTTGTAACATTTACCTTGCTCTGCTACATCGTTGCATTTTTCCCATATAGAACATTGCTATATATATGTATGCGATTTCCATCCAGCAATTTTCGCTCACAAATTATTTGAGTTTTTTCTTTCGTTATACGAATTTGATAGGGATTGGTTTTTTTTTTTTTTTTGTCAAATTCCCCAACCGAATTTATTCATCTTATATAATAATTCTTATTATTTGAATTTAGTTTAAATGAATCGCTGGAAAATTCCAAAAATATTTGCCATTAAAATTTCTATTTGACAATTAAGAAGTCTGAATTTTCGAATTTTCTTGTCACCGAAATTTAATTGATTCAGATTTTCATTGAATTATTGTCATTTATCCGAATTTTTGTTTAATCAAATTCTTATTTATTCAAATTGTTAGTTAACAAAATGTTTGTTTCATCGAATTCTTATTTATTCAAATCGCCGCTGCTGAAACGAATTTTTGTTCAATCAAATTTTTTATTTACATTCCAAATTGTCAGTTGATTGAAATTTTGTTTAATCGAATTCTTCTGTTCTTTTTTCACTTGGAACAGCAATAAGTTTCACTAAAACAGCGAAAATTTTCTTTATTCTAGAGAAACGTATCGCTATTCCAGATAAAGATTTTTTTTCCCCGTCTTATTTATCAAAATTGCGTCATTTTAATTGAATCTTTAATTGACCGAACTGTTCTTTATCCGAATTTCTATTTTCCAAAATTCCAATAAAAAAATTAACATTTTCATTCAACAATCTATATGAAAGTAATATCATTTTGTCAATTAAAGAATTAATTAAATTTTTTTATCAGACGTCTCTGAAAGCTTAATGAATCAATTTGCAACGTCATAAAATGTTGATTTGCCGCATTTAAAATAATATTATACGAAAACAAAATCGTTCTCGTTTATAAATTGAAAAATTATTGGAATGTCAGTCGCATTTATAACATATATGATATAAATCATTAATTTTTATATAGAAAAAAAAAGTATAATAAAATTTATAAGGTAATGAAAGTTTCTTTCTCTTTTGAAGTATTATGAAATTTTGAGGGGAGAGAAAAAAAAAGAGAACTTTTTATCAGTCTTGTTTCATGGGAATGAGTTGTATATCACTTTATTATGCGCATGTATATATATATATATAAATTTCTCGCTAGCAAATATGTGCGCAAATACAAATAATGTTCGCATGAGAGTTGTCGTTGTGGGTCGCCTTCGGTTACACAACCAATTTTTGGGGGATCCCATTTTTTTGCACTGGACCGGATAAATTATTATTTAATACATGATACTCTGCTCCAATGCTCCGCATCATAAATATTATAACATAATTCACTGGCGTAACATGCCGCCTAAATGGCCTGACAATAATATATCCTATATATATAAGCGCATGTATTTTCGTTTAAACGAAGTATATATATATATGTATATTCTTATATATATATATATATGTGTGTACCATTATTGTCGGGCTATATTGATCTATACGCAAAGTATACAATTTTCGATGTATAATATTTTTTTATGATGATAGAAATTTTATGAGGTGCACACACAAAAAACAACAAAAATTACTAAAGTGCGCGCGGTTGTCGTTATTAAAACGCGTACAGTACATAAAGAGTGAATGTATATATGAAATTTTTATTACAAGTATATATTTACTTTTTTTTTGCATAATGTGCAGTTTTACGTTTTCATTTTTTTACCAAAAAAAATGTTTACTAAAAAAAAAGTTACACTAATAAAAAGAATTAAAAAAAAAAGTATTAGAATATATAGTTATATTTTTAAACTTGTTTCTAAACAGATAATATTTTTATTCAACAATGGATTAATCGACATTTAGCAAAAAAATTTAGCAGCCTAATAATTTTTATTTAACCATAATTCGTAATATTAAAGTTTACTTAAATTCAATTTCATAAGTAAATTAATATGATTATAATTACAATTTCTTGATTAAAAATATTAAAGAAAAATTTATAAATTAATTTCTTTTTTCGCAAAAAAAAAGTATCTAAAAACTTTTATAACTTGAGTTCTTTTTCACTCCCTCTGTTAAAAAAAAAAAAAAAATTATGTATCACGAAAGGTCATTGTAATTTCTGTACGCCGCGATAAACTTTGTATAAAAATGTGAATTTAAATGGCATGTTGTAGACATTGTTGAGTCGAGTAAAAGTCGATTGCGCCGTTTGTGACGATATTCTTATATACTCACCTGCATTACACACAACATTCTTTATTGAGACTATTGAGAAAGAAAATGAATGTTCAACGATACAAGGTTAGAGTTCGCGTAAGGGAAAGTAAACTTAACACTCGACTATATATATATATATATAATACACACAACATTGTGGACACTTGAAAATAAAAAAATTCACACTTTGGCATTTTAATTATATATATACATTTTACAAATTACCATTAACGGAAATAACCATTTATATACATTAATCACAAATCATTAATAATGACTAAAAAAAACATTTTAAAAACTTTTTTTTAATTTTTATATTACTTTGTATATATAATTAAATCTTCAAAAGTGGCCATTTATTATCAATAATACATTTACAAGTGTCAAATATATGAAACTTTTTCTTTTTGCTTAAAAAATTAATTTGCGTATATATATATATGTTAAAAGCGAGAATATTAAGTGAATAAAATTAAATGTGATTTTCATGTTTGAAAAAGCAATCAAAACATATAATGAACCGGTTATTGGTATATATAAAAAAAAGTACGATTATTAAAATTTCAATGAGTTAAAAATAATATCCTCTGACAACAAGTTCGATTAAGACAGTACCTTTGACGTTTTTGTTTTCTTTATATATATTCAACTTTTTAATAAAATTGCATTCAGGTTAAATATGTTAATTATTCCGATTGTTTCGTTTTTGTTTTTTAAAGGGTAGATGGTGATTTAAAATTACAAATTTTATTTTTTTCTTCATTTAAAAATTAAAATATAGAAAACAAAAGACTGAAGAAAAGAAATTTGCCATAATTATTAATAATTTTATTATTATTAATTATTAATTGATATAGTATAATTTCGTGATTATAATGAAAATATAGTATATTTTAATTTTAATTGTTTCGATAAAATCAACTTGAATGAAATATACAGTATTTCTTAAATTTAGATAAGAATTATAATATAAGATGCTTATTTCAAGATTTATATAAGGATTAATTCTTAATCTTAAATAAATCATAAAGATGATTGTATTATTAAATAAGGCGGGTAAACAAGAATATAAATATCGTGCAGATTCTGTTTTTTTTTTTTTGGTTTTTAAGAAAATATTATATTTGAATAATTATTCACAATTTTTTTTTTTTCAAGAATTTATCCTAAAATTTTTAATTAAATATATTATGTAGAGAAGCTATCATTATCAGCGCGACTAATTGAAAAACACAAAGGATATACCATAAATTACAAGTTTTAATACTTTTACATGCGTAAGTTAATTTTTGATGAAGTTTTTGTTGAAAGCTGGTCGTAAATTATTAGTTGCATATATATATATATATATATATTGTTATGAAAAACTTCTGGCTAAGAATAAGTAATCATATATCCTTGTCAAATTAGAATTCACTTTTTTTATTTTTCTATTTAGTAACATTTTTTCTACTTTTTTTAATACACATTTTGCAGACAAAAAAAAAGTTTAGAAGAAAAGATTTAAAATTGGTTTTAAATAACATTTGATTATACAAAGAAATTAAAAAAAAACAACGTAATTACGATTTATTATGAAAAAAAAAAATAAAAAAAAAAGTGATAAAAATTGTAATTTGTGATAAATAATGATCATAAACAATATAATTCTGATTATATAAATATGATAAATAGGTTGCTACAAATAATTGCAATATATAATTATTATCAGCAAATATTAATGAGCGTAATTATTTAAGAATATAATAAAGGCTTTATTTACATGTATGCAATACAATGTATATTGTACAACTGCATTGATAAAATTATTTTATTTTTACGACACGATGCAGGCATCAATTGGCATTTGATAATTTTCATACAGTTCTTTTTACTCATTTTGTTCTATGGAAATTTTTTTCTTTCAGTCTTTTTCATTTCTATTATTTTTAAAAATAATTAATTATTTTTAAATTATTTCTACTTATGATTTATAAATTTTTTTAAAAATATTTTTCATTGCTTTTATAATTAAAAAAAAAGAAATATATATATATGTGAAAATAGAAATGTCTGTCGGTGAAAATTAATAAACTCTGAAATGTGAGAAATTTGTGAAATGAAATCGCGTCATTTCTGCTTGAGGCTAGAACATTGACATCGCGCACCACTACCTATAGAGTAATACTATTCATAGCATGCAGTTGCATAAAACTGCGTTACGTAACTCGCGTCTAATGCCTGCTATCATCGGAACGATAACGCTACCGCTCAATAGTTGACTAGTGTGATAGTTAAATGCGTTTTGCATATGTGTATTGCAAACACAAATAAAGTATCATAACGCATATTAAATGTGTCTATGAGTGATCTCATGAAAACTTATCTTTTAGTTGCGTCCACTGACTTCTATAATAATGATCTGTTCATATATAATAATGATTCCTCTTCTCTTTATCACTGATCTATGATAACATTTTATCAATTAGAAATATTTTTTTCCAAATGGTTTTTAATTTTACTTCGCGGTTTTATTCTTCATAAAAAAAATATTTATTTGATTCAAATAAACGATTACTGAACTATTATCAAATAAATATTTATACTTGAACCAAATAATTTTTATTTGAATTGAATAAATTGTATATTTGTTTCAAGAAAATTAGAGAAATTATTGATCCAATTTTATATTTAATCCAAATAAAAATTATTTGCTTCAAGTAAATATTTATTTGATAAGTAATCGATTATTTGAATCAAATAAATTTTTTTTTCGAATGTTTTATATATATTTTATTTTTCTTGAAGTACTTAACCTTCTTTGGAGTCATCGCAATTGGCAATTTTTTTTCTTCACTCCAAATGTGAAGTAAAATTAAAAATTATAATCCATAATTTCTGTATGAAAATGATTTTAAATAGCGTTGAAAAACAGATAACGGAAAAACTCTTATATTGATTTAACTGATTCACTTTCCATGTGTGATATTGATTTAAAACATATCGGCTTTTCTCATTGTATAGATAGATTTTTTTCTTCTTCTGCGCAGTAAAACACGCACTTATCAGTGATAAACTTATCCTGTAATCGCGAAAAAAACATGTCTGCAAACGTCATTTTATAAATGTGAATTTTGTCCCTAAGCCATTTCTTATATAATATTTAAAAAAAAAAATATAAGAAACTTTCTGGAACTGTCAATCTTCTGTTTATAGATATTGAAAAATTGTTTTGCAATTCTTGTTATTGTCGCATATTATTGTTGTGTCTCGATTTTTTCAATTAAATCGAATTGATCTCGTCTGATAAAATTATTTTTAGTTATATAATTTACATAATTTGTTCTTTTATATTTTCGATTCTAATTAAGTTATAACTTTTATTTACCAGACCTAAAAAATTTAGTGTTGAATATACATTTTTTAATAATAGGAATGAAATTAATTATTTATCTTAATTAGATTATTAAAATTTAAATTACTAATTATAAATTATTAGCTATATTTGAATAATAAGCCTTTTCTAATTATAATAATTAGCAATTTCGTGATTTTGTATATTAATTTTTATGTCGCCTTTATTTCTCTTGTAGAAAAACGAATAAAAAGATTTAAAAAAAAAATGAATTCCATGAAAATGAATAATAAAAATACTATGGTAGATAAACTTTTCTTTTGAAATATTTTTTAATAATTTAATATGCAGGAAGTTTCTTTGAAATTTGATAGTGTTGTCCTAAC